AAAAGTATCAGCTTTAAAGACGTGGTTGGATAACTTGTTACTTGTTACTTGGAACTCGGTTTGCACTTTTCTACTGTTGATTAATTTGTAACCCAAAACAAAACCAAGTGTTATTTTTGGTAAGGCTTATGCACGTCTATTACATTGCACTTTTTCCTTTATCGAGGTAAAAAAAAAAATCTGTGTTCTCTTGAAAGAGCCTGTCTACTACTGAGAGATGGTGTTGGGGAGAAGTTATTGAGAAATTCTGTAAACGCAACAAGTCATTTCCTGGACGAGGCCGCTTATTAGGTTTAAAGTCGCAACGCTCTTTGAGAGCTTTGTTTTCTAGTAACGCCGAAGAGATTACTCACTGACATGTGGAGGAAACCCAGTTCATTTTAAGTAATAATTTAACACACCCTCTTCAACTGCACAGTTTCAAGGACTGACACGCCCCTGTTGCAGTCATGACTGTTGACGTAGGTACAACAGTAATTAAAGCATACCCCTGCTATGAAACCTGCCCTGCAGTGTCTGTAATCCAGGTTTCCTGAAGTTACCGCTGCCATTACCGAAGAGTTGAGGGTTCCACAGTGCAGCTGGAGGAAAGGGACCGAAGTACACTGGGAGTAAAAAAATTACTACTGTAATGGACGAAGACGGAAAACTAGTTTGATGGAAGAAATTCGGGAACGGTAAGGAGGTGACGTGCGTTCAAATTCGGGCTACAGGCAGTGTCCTTGTGGATTTTTGTCAGATTTTTTTATTTTTATAGTTGGTGTGACAATTAAGATATTAAAGTAAAAGAAGAACGGCTCGTGTTGACTGCATCGAAGCCAATTTCTTTAAAAAATACATGTGTAGGTTTCCGTTTGAAAACGAAATTGTTTTCTGTTGATATAATTATTTTTTTCCTTGTTGTTGCTGAACTGCTTTTCGGATTTGGAAACGTCGATCCCGCCGTTATTCGTTACTTTAAAAGCTTTTAAATGAAGACTTTTAGGGCGTTTCGACTCGGCGTGTATGGGATAAACTGAGGACTTGATCCCAATTTTCAGTAATTTCACCACTTGCGGTTCTTTGAGCGAGAATGTTAAAGCTTGAACTTCAGCTAAGCGGTGTTGAAAATTGTTGCCGTTTTATTTTGCGATGGTTTTCACTTAAAACTTTGCTAGTAGTCTGACCTGCCATTTTATTTGCCTACTTTGTATTTGCATTACGAACTCTGAGAGTTCAAAGACTGTCCGCCTGTGAAGCCCGAACAAACACAGGGTTTTTAAGGACTTTTCGCCGGAAATGTGTTACCCAGTCCTAAACGGGCGCTTCTTTATAGGATGACTCTTGACAGAGGTGCGTCGCCGCACCGAAGTAAAAAAGAAGTGGTGCTTGGTATTTTTGACACTCTCGAATGTCATTCACCTCTTGTCATTTTACACTTCAGTCATTCTATTTAAAGAATCACGCTTCCATTTTAAAAATCGGCCGTCTTTTTCCCTGGATGTTCTGTTTGAAACTAGTATTTTTTTTTAGATGAGCTAGAAGATATGAGGCCTACATAAATATCGCACAGTTGAGACGGTTGAGGCAAGTGTAAAAGAGTTTCACGAATGGATAGTGTTTACCTTTTTAAAAGATATCCCTCCGGAAACACACACACACACACGTGCTCTTGGTTAGAGAGAAACTTCGTTTCTTTCTTCTGTGGTTTCTCTTTCGTCCCATTCTCTTGTCTTGCAGCAGATTGGTAAGGTCTGTTCCAAGACGAGTTAATACTTGGATTTGGTGGTTTTCTGCCTTTGGGGGTTTGATGTACACTCGCGCAGATCCATAATGTTCTCCACGTCCACGGCTTTCCAGATGGAAGAGTTTACTGTAAATCACGAGTGGCTCCTGGACTGCGAAGAATGCGCGGTGTGTGGCATGCAGAGACCATCCTTGCTTATGAATCGTCGTTCCCATTCCTTACAGAGGAGTCTCTCTGGGAGTAATTCACGGAAAATAAAATTCGTGTACACAGCAGAAACAGCGACGGCACTATGCATTTTTAGGTATTAAATAATAACCGTGACCAAATAGGAAAACTTAAAAACTGTGTCGTTCTTGAAATAGTCATTATGAACACGTGACCATTTTCACGAACAACTTCAAGAAGGAAACAAAAAAAAAATGCATCCAAGTGGTGTTACAGTACGTTTCGGGGTTCAGATTTATGCCGTCCCTTTAGCCATATAGGTGTTATTAAATTAAAACAGTTTCAGGAATGATTTAGACTGTAATCGTGTTCAGTCTGGGGCTTGTACCCCTGTAATTCTGATCAGGTGTGTTCTGTTTGAGGTCTTGAATTCGTATTGCTGATAACTTCAGCGTGGTCGACGCGAGAGTGGTAAGAGTAGGGATTGAATGACGTGCAGGGACCTGTGAGTAGTGTGTGAGGTGTTTTCCCCTCACAGTGGAATGTTGTTTATCTTATTTCATTCCAGAACTGTAAATATTCCCTCTTTCGGTGGGTGGGATTCTTATGCTATTGGCCGACATACACTGTGTATAATTTAAGTAGGGCATGCAGTTGTTTATAGTCCGACCGCCATTACTGTTTTGCTTCTTAGTTTTGCAAGAAGTTACGCATGTACTGTATATCGTGCTTTTCTCACAAAGATAAAACGTTTAAGTGCCTGAAGTAAAAGGTGACTTTTGTTTATAGTAACCTTTTCCCGAAATTATTTTTGGAATAACTGCGAACGGTTAACTGGATAGCAAGGTTAAATGCAAACGAATTGGTTTATCATTACTTTTTCTCGAACTGTGTAGTTAGTTGTAGAATTGGAATGCTGTTTTTGAAAGAATGTTTATGCGGAGCTGTAAAGGACTTTTCTCAGCTTGCACTATACAGTAGGTTGAGTCAAAACGTTTGACAGATTTATGATGTATAGAGGCACTAGAGATGAATACAGCATTGCCTATTCCTGGTCACTCTTATACTTGATACAAGAGCACCCAGATATATTTTGGGGCTCAAAGGAATGTCCCACACAGACAGGTTGAAGGAATGGAGCTTTTTAGAACAGAGACTGTTAATGGGACCCAAAAGAAGCCAGGGTATTTGACTACTTCTCTCAAGAAACAGTTGAATGAGATCCTGCGATCAGTGGGAGATTCAAACTTTTATTTTCTTTAGAGATAACAATCTCCTTTTGCTAAGAGTTCCTGCAGTGCTCTCTGACCTAAATTAATTAATTTGTTTTTTTACTGGGAATGTTTGAGATGATTGATCCCATTGGTATATGTTACTGTACCTTCACGAATTGCCTACCAACATCTGACTTGTAGAAATCCCAATATAGGATAAGATATTGGAATGTAAACGTTTACCCCTTATTTTACCCCTTAATTAGTTTCCTGTTTTATAGTAAATACGTGGTGTCATTTGCTCCTTTTCCTGGAACTTCGTTCCCAAGTTCTTCAGTAGAGCCAGTTTTAAAGAAGCTCTTTTGCTTGTTTGGGATGTACTTTTTTTTGTAAAGGACTTCTTAAGATGAACTTTAAAGTAAGTAAAGTCATCTTTATCAAAAAGCCTCTTATTCCTGGTAAGGGTTATGGCAAACTGAGCCCTATCCTGAAGACAGTGTGGGAATATTCTCTGGATGGAGCCCACATCAGGGTGCACTCAGGCACTCAATTTAGAGAGCGTACCCTCCTCGTTAACTGGAACCAGAGCAACACAAACTCCATACAATGTGATTCATTCCAGAAGCCATGATCTTTGAGCTGGCAGCGCTCAACGCCATGCCACCATGCTGCCTGTGCAGGCTTGGGTCAATTTACTCAAATTCAGGTTCGTCTCATAAACTGAAGTAAAGCTTCTGCATGTAAAAATAAGCATACGTGCAATTCAGTCATAATGCAAAAATATATTTTTCATGAAGAATATAGAATCATTTCGTCTTGCTTGTGGTAGTATGGCATATCGATAAACCTTACATGTCTTATGAAATACTTTTAATGTTTTTTTAATCCTATTTTGTTTCATCTGTAAATAGAATCACATGCTTATATACCCTTTTTTCACCATCAGGCCTACAGGTTCCTTTTCCTCTCCTCTTCCTGTTTTAGATATTGAATGTTTGCGACATATGCTTGTTCTTTGATATAAAAACGTTATCCTTAGAAAGAGAAGGTTCCTGCCTCTTGACCCTTTCCTGGCACTGTTTAGTTTCCAAGACACATTGTTTATAGTGTTAAACAGGATGTTCTGTCCGTCTGACTAAAAATAAGCACAAATGTATCTTTTTGTTCTAGCAACACAGTATTTTTACTGCAACAAAAACTAAAAGAAGTAAATACATGGGGAACGTTTTCTGATAAAAAAACATGCTGCAACTAAAGATTGAATATATTCCCTCTGTAATGGAAATATATTTGCTAATTCATGGGTTATGCAATGAAGCTACGATGTGTGGTATCAGGCGTTGGTAAGGAAGTGTCACTGTTCTTAGATTGTTAGCTTCAGAGTTTGGACACATTGACTGAAATCTGGCTTTATAGGGTGCAATATTTGTAGTTCTGTTATCTCTGACCTGGACATGGAGCAGAGGTATTGAGGAAAAAAGAATGATTTCTGAGTCTGGCGCAGTAGGCTCTCATCCATTGAGGAGATTGCGTGCAGGTCGAACAATGTGTAGTTCCACATGCTGATATGGCTCTCCAGCAGGTTAAGTTTGTATTAGTTTGGGAATGCCTATAATGTTCAGGGCTCATTTTTATACTGACTAATTTTCTTTTTGGTTATTGTTTCCCTTTTTAATTTTCTGGACAATGAACCCTGAGCATAGTCTTCCCATTGCGCAAATAACGTGACCAACACAGTTTTAATCCATTCAATATGAATTTATCTAGGTTTACGAGGAAATATACTGTTTCAGTAACTGGAGATGTGTACACAAAGGGAATGTTATATTTTGGAAAAAGGAAACTTACACCCTTTTTTTCATTTTGGTTTTACAGGTAGGAAGTATTACTGCGGTATAATGGAATAAGCTGCGGTGAAGGAACCGCATCACTTGGCTTATGTGGATTTTTCCTTGCCACTTCAAAGTTGTGGTCCCTTTTCCCAGTTGGATGTGACAGACTGGATCCTCCAGCTTCGTGAACCCAATGCCCTTGATACAGAGTGAGAATGGCCTGGGGTGGACACTGTGTTCCGTAGATCAAGGAAATTGCTCATACACACCCATCAGCTTATTTTCCCCCTTCCTCATCCCTGTTTGGAGACTGAAATGAAGAAACTGGTTAGCTGGTCTGCAGCAGAGGTGTCCCACTGGCTGACAGAGGAAGGCATGCAAGAGTACTCCGAGCACTTTCGACATCTCAATGGCCAGGCCCTGCTGCAGCTCACGGAGGAAGACTTCAGGAAGCCTCCGTTTTCTCTGGTGACCTCTGACAATGGCCGGCAGCTGCTGGACAGGATTGAGACTCTGAAAATCGAGCACCACATTGAGGTGCACAAGAATGGGCACGCCAATGGGCATCTGATTATGGGTGGCGACGGAGATGCTACCAGCAAAGCCAAGAGAAACGGAGTGCCCAATGGTTTCCGCAAGGAGATGGTCCAGATCCCAATGCCCGAGCCTGAGCATTCGCCCTACCCTCTGGAGTGGGTCAAGACAGGCGTGGCCTTTTTCTATGCACTATCTTGTTTTGTCCTCACCACCGTCATGATCTCCGTGGTCCATGAGCGAGTGCCTCCCAAGGAGGAGAACCCTCCGTTGCCCGACAAGTTTTTTGACCTTTTCGACAGGGTGGAGTGGGCGTTCTCCATCTGTGAGATCAATGGCATGGTCCTGGTGGGCCTGTGGCTCTTGCAGTGGATTTTATTAAAGTACAAGTAAGTAACAACAACATTACAGCAACCGGTTTTTGGACACGTGTGTTTGTCCTGGTTTCACGTAAGAAGTCAGATTTCGAATTCATAATCCGTTGTTGCTCAGTATTGAGAGGGAGTGTCACGTCAAGGTATCTTCTAATGTTGTTTCAGTGTAGTTTGAAACGGAGAAGATAATTTTTTTAAATGTATTTCCAAGTATTAACTTTGTAATTATGTGTAAGTCATGGTCTTTGTAACACAACAGTGATGTTCTGCTTGAATCCCATTACCTTTGCTAAGGATAATGAAAGTGGTGTCTATACTTTGTTCAGCCCAGTGCCTGCAGTGCTTAATTTGCACTGCATATTGTTATGGCTTTAATGGTCTCATAGATATATTTATTCATGGCGTTGTACAAAGCCACAAATTCAAATTTAACACCACCGAAATATGGAAGCTGCTATACTTATTTACATACAACTTTAATTTTCTGAACATAGACTTTTAAAGTAAACTGGAAACACCAGTGATCACCAGACAACCCAGTTCAATCTACTATGACATTTGAATATATTATCAGATATTAATATGTATCTGAAATCTTAAAAACTTGTCTGAAACACAAGCATGTTTTCACTTTCAGATCCATTATTGGCCGGCGATTCTTCTTTATTGTTGGCACCCTTTACCTGTACAGGTGTATTACAATGTATATCACAACACTCCCTGTGCCTGGTATGCACTTCAAGTGCTCTCCAAAGGTGAGTCTTCATTTTCACCATTGTGTGCCTTTTCTTTTTTTAAAAAGGGTATTATATTAATACATAGTAGCATTGTATATGTAGTTCTCATCCCAAAGGATCTAAGAATACATGTAGGATCAGTCTTAACAGTGAGATTTGGGATTTCCAATATATAAAGGTAGCATACCTGCAGGCCTGGATTTCCCTCCAGAAGGAAACAGTGCTTTTCTTCCATCTTCAGAGTCTGGCCCCAGAGTCTTCAAGGAGTATTTACATTAGCCCAGGTTGCAGTCTCTTCATCTTGGGGTGATTCAAGGCTCACACAGAGAATAGCTTCTAAGTTCCTAAGTGCTGATGCCTGATCCCTCATAGTGCACGATCTCAAGAAAAGAAATCTAGATGCTTTCTAACCACTGTGATCATTTACAATTTATCTTGAAAAAGACACTGGTTATTGACACCATAGATTTTAACCAGCACCAAACCTACCACCCCTACAGTCTGACACACACCTCGCACATTCCAGACATTCTTCTAGTAAGGGAGTACCCTCTTTGCTAGCCCTGCTTGGTGACGAGGAGGCTCAGTGTTTGGCCAAGGCAGGGGCAGAATTGAGTATGCTCACCCATATACTTTGGAAGGAGCTTGGAGTCTGCCTTCTCACAAAAATGAGCATACGCCATTCTTCTGTTTTACATCATGTCTCTATGGTTGTGGGACATGGACACTTGTGGTAGGTTCCTTTAATCTGGTAGTGGTAAGGAGGACCTGCACACAAATTCCTGTTATAGGGTACGTGCCCCTTATATGGTATACCCCGAATAAAGCCGTCACTGTAAACAGTGGGGAATTGTGAAACTGGGGTTGAGGCCAGACCAACCCTGGGATAAAAACAATCCTATCCTGACTGGATCCTCATCCTGCTTTTCCTTACCAGATGCCCCTGTAAGCCTAATTTGAAATGGCATGACAGCGGTCTTTTACTCATAGCCATAAGGGTAGTAAACATTGTGCTTCTGTCTTCTACTCATAGCCATAAGGGTAGTAAACAATGCCTTATTAATCCAACAAGAGAGCAAACCTCTTCTCCCATTAACCCTACAGGAACTAGATTATTTTTACTGCTTCAACCGAACCCCTAATCTTGACTTAACTACCTAATTAAACCCTTAGCCCTATGTTTTGAACCTCTTTTTTAGAGTTAAAATGATTGAAAACCACCACAGGAGATCGTATTCTTGCCTGCACATTTTCTCTCACTGACTGGTCATACATCCACAATACAAACCATCATTGACAGCTAAGAAAAACAGTTGCTCAGTTACAAAACAGTGCCACGTAAAGCAACAAGATGCATTTCTCCTTTGCTGATTACGATCCATCTGCTGTATCACTTGGCAGAATGGAATTCCTGACATTGAAGTTTTTAAGAGGAACTGCATTCCAAACATTGAGATCTTGCTTATCGGATCCCAACGTTGCTGGGTTGGGCATCAGGAAACATTGTACTGCAAGCTGAATACAGGATCTCACACCACAGAACAGCGAATGCCTAGATAAAAAATACAATGCTGAAGGTTAACCTAACGGAATGCAGAGAAGCAACATTCTGGTAGATCAAAATTAGGAAGTCTGTGCCATAAGGCAGTTTCCACATTAGAGGAGAATAGAATAAGCTCTCTAGGGGACAAGCCAGAATACCACAAAGTTGGCACCTTAGTACCTACAAAAAGATAATATTTTTATCTCGCCTGATTTGCAGACAGTTCTAAGTTTCTTACTGGTGGTTTGAGGGTTTAACCGCTATTCAGAGTAAGGACACCATGAGGAGAGACTTAATACCTATGATTGTTCCAACTCTGCCAAATTGGGCCTAAAAATATTTACATTTTGTAGAGGTCCTGGGATAAATTTGTTTTGTAAGTCAAATGGAGTGGTATTGGATTAAATGAATCAATCACTTTCATTTTGGTGAGAATTTATTATAGAGTTGTAGACCTTGAGGTGGTTACTTAAAGTTGGCGAATTGAAACAAATACCTGTATGACAGGTTATTATAATTACAATATAATTGCGCCGCTGTACTATAAATACACAAGATCAGTTTTGACTTGCTTTCTTCTCTTAAGAATGGCATCCTGAAGGTCTTGATACTATCCAACATTTTCTGTTTTGGCGTGGCTGTGCTTTCTTATAATACAACTGAAACCTTGAAAAAGAATATATAAAATATTGAAAAAATGTAAAGACATTTATACTCTGAAAAAAATAAGCAATAGTTTTTTTAGGTTTTCATTCTACTGCATTACACTCATTGCTTAATATATGTAGCGCATTTCAAAGATGGGAGGCTCAAGTGGTGGGCAGCTGTTTTGAATTAAGCAGTGCTCTACATCAAAAACTAAAAGTGTGTTTCCCCAGCAGCCCCTTCCGCAAACTCCAGCTGCTTTGAGTCAGGCGGGTGGGGTTCAGCTTAAGGTATCACTAATGTGATGTGGAAGGAAGTGCTCAGAATTGCAGAGGCCGTTGGAAACCACACGTGATTGAAGAATGAGCAGAAGAGTCACTTTCCTGCTGTCAGGCCATGGGGTTGGGTTTCCTGTCAATGCAAAGCAAGAGGATGGCACAATCACTTATGAAAGTAAACTTCTGTTTGCTGCCTGCTGGCAGTTTAGAAGAGCACCGGTGTTTTTAAAATGTTTCTTAGTTAGCTGAGATGTTTTTATATTTCCGTGCTCTGTTTGGGTGTCCTAATGTCCATTGATCAAACTTAGACTTGTCCCCCTTGATTGACATTGTGTTTTCTTGCCTCCCTCCTCAAGCTGTTTGGAGACTGGGAAGCACAGATGCGGAGAGTGATGAAGATGATAGCTGGAGGAGGCCTGTCCATCACAGGGTCTCACACCATGTGTGGGGACTACCTGTACAGCGGACACACAGTCATGCTAACACTCACCTATCTCTTTATTAAAGAGTGTAGGTATTGGTCTTCTCTGCTAATGTGAAGTGCCAGCCTTCAGCCAGGGATTCAGAATCCTTGTGGTTCACAAGTGGGTCTTGGTAAGGGTTTTTGTGCAGGAGTGGCACAAGTAATAACCAGGTTTAAGAAATAAGAATTCATCATTCTTTTCTAATTAATAAATAGAAAGAAGAACTATATCAAAGGAACTATCATTGCATATTTCCCCCCTGCAAAAAGAAAAGAAAAAACAATAATGAAGTGGGAGGATACAGTAATTCTCTACTTGTAATCCATATCCTCACGCCTTACAGCTCTTTAACTGGAAATGTGGGACGATGTACAGCCCTCCCCTTCATCTGTCTCGGGTTTCAGTCAAGGGGGGTTTAGTTCTTTCCAGTGAGGATACAGTACCATATGCCGTATGATTCTTTACAGAGCTGTTATAGATTTGCTTTAGGTTTTTCTAATCCATTGTCTTAACTAGGGTTGTCCATCCCTGGTGTTGGACAGTTATAGTTCTGTATGCGTACAGTGTATTGCAGTCTGACAAATCTTACAGGTGGCCTTAAATGAGCTATGGGCAGAGGTCTGAAAAGCATATTCATGCCTCCTAATTAAAAAACTGATTGATCAGATTTTTTATTTGAATAAAAACTAGAAGACACTTTTGGGTTCAATGACGCAGACTGTTGGGTCTTGAAAGATTAAAAAAAATCTAATTCTGTGAAAGAAATCATTTTATTTTAGACAGAACAGTTAATTTGTTTAATGGTCATCACTTTATTGTTGTATATATAGATGCTTTAGTAAGATTTAAACTAATAACTTTATTGGGTTATTTTAGTGTGCCTTTGTATGTTTATCAAGACCTAGAAAAATGTTAGGTGTACATAAATTCTCAGTTTATGTGTCGAGTGTTTTCTATATAAATATTTGCATTGTTATTGAATTGCTCTGTAAAGGTGTTAGCCACTTCATTATTTCAATTATTGAAGAAATGACAAAGTTGTCCAAGCCCAGAAATTGTAATTCTCACTGACCTAGCCGGACAACAGTGACATCTGGTGGGTCTATAGATTAACTAGAAATTGGACAATTTCTTTCCTCAAGGAAGATTCCCACAGGTTTCTTTTCACAACACAACAGATTACCTTTTCAAAAGGACTTTACTTCATAATTGAATCAACAGTTCAGTTAAGCTGTAATGTTCAAAGATGGAATGAAAACCAGGCGATCCTCAAGCTATCAAGGAGTCAAGGAGCTCATCCTTGTGTTATCCACTGGGGCTCATTACTCCTTTATCTAAAGCTCCTCTTTTCAGGGACTTCTGCTAGTTATAGACCTTTTAAATAATTTTACAGCCTTGTTTGGTTAAGATTACTACAGTCTGATGGATTTCTTTGGGGAATTTTTTTTTTACAAATTTTAAGTTGTTGCATGTGAATTGATATTTCTGTTACCAGTGAATTAAACACTAGAAGACATTTGACCCAGTGGCTGTTGCCTGTATTCCTACAGTCATTTTAAGATTAAGCGTACATAAGCTGACCTGCAGTAAACTTCAAATTATTTTAATTTTACACATAATATGTATAATCGGATGTTTGTGACATTGGCTTACACAGTTGCTTTCCTTCCAGATTCTCCAAAAAGGTTCTGGTGGTACCACTGGATATGTTGGACTCTCAGTGCTGTTGGAATCTTCTGCATTCTGCTTGCCCATGATCACTACACTGTGGATGTGGTGGTAGCATACTTCATCACTACACGTCTGTTTTGGTGGTACCACACCATGGCCAACCAGCAAGTAAGTCCTCTTGTCCTTGTGGAGTTCCAGCTCTCCTCTCCTTGTGCATGTCTCAGATTGTCTCAGACCAATATCCCCACAGGATGACTTTCAGTGAATTCAATGCAACCTACTGTTTAAATCTGGTGCATCAGCCCATAGTTTTTGGGCACATACAGGTTGTCATTATAGCATTATGTTCAAAGTATGAAAGCTTGCGACATTGTTCTTTGACCTCTTTACTGATAAATTGCATGTTTTCTGTATTTAAGAGATTTAAGTTTTCTATTGTGCTTTTTTTCTCCCCAGGTGCTAAAAGAAACCTCGCAGAGTAACTTTTTTTCTCGGGTTTGGTGGTACAGACTTTTCCAGTACTTTGAACAGAATGTGCATGGGATTGTACCTCGGAACTATCAGTGGCCATTCTCCTGGAGAACACTAAAGTACAACGGAGCAGTGAAATACTCTAGGATAGAGACATAGCAACAGTGTCGTGACTCGAAGACTGTCCAGGTGACTGTGAAGTCACAGGTGAGAAGGGTTTCTGATGGACTGCCTAAAGTGCTACAATCTTATCACGAGAAGATGCCATAGTGAACTCCTTGCTGTTCCTTTCTTGTTTAGTGTTCACTTTTGACTTGTTCCAGTAACACTGGTCAGCACTGTGATTTTTATTTTCCAAACTCATTCATTTTCAAACAGATCAAAACGTGCACTGTAAACACTAAGGATCTTGTATTCAAGACGCTTAATTGCTTGAAACCCCATCGAATTTAAAAGGGATTTAAGCATCTCAGTGGTTTGAATAAAGGGTCTTTTAATGATTTTGTATTTTGCCATTAGAGAGAAATTGTTCCATTGTAAATCTGATGAACATTTCAACCAGGTTGTTTTATGATTTACTCTTGTATGTCTGGATTTATTTTTATTTCCTATAAAAAATATTTCTGTTAACCCCAAGGTCTGGGCTATAAGCCATTCTCTAGTAAGGTCTACGATGTACAAAATAATTTTGCCTCTAAAATAACATTAATTAAATTGCAGGGGGAAAATGTAGTAACGAACTTGGAGGGGTTTTAGAACCAGAAAGATTTTTTTTCCGTTTTTTAAATGATCATTGTTTTTTATGTATCCTCACTAAATATGGCAAAGGTGCAAAAGATTTTTTCTATTTCACAGGTTTATTTTTCAAATTAATGACGTTTAAAGATATAAATTGACTTTTAGATTTTTACATTTTGAAAAGAAAGCAAGTGGAGAAAAACCAAGAGTGATATTAAGTGTTTTCTAGTGCCTTTCTTGTCTTGACTGTACAGTCTATTGGTGGTCTCATTAATGTGTTTTTGTTTAAAATATTGTGAAGAGGTACATAATTTATTTGGCTTGAACCACACAAACGGCATCTGCAGTGATGAAAGCAGTGTCTTGGCTTTTGATTCTAGATTTATGTGATTGAAGGACAGAAGCCCCAAGAAGTTTTATTCAAAAACTGAATGTAATGCTTAAGTTATAATGATAAGAAATTGGTCTTCCGAACGTAACAGCAAAGAAAAACATACTACCGCCGAAATGCCTGGAGTTTTATATTTTTCCAGACTTTTTTTTAAAGTTGAGAGTATTTTGTTTTGTGCCCTTATTCTCCTTTCAATTTTAAATGCCAAACATCCACTTGGGCTTTGGGCTCCCAGTGTTTTCCTGTTATGTGTAAAATTCAGCTGTTAAAAGACTGACTTGAATATGTTTTTTTCTGGATGCGAGGCTATGAAGGTTTTCAGGACTGTTGACACCAGTATGCCTGACAATGTGAATGTGTTTCCTCCTTTAGCCCCTGCATCTCCCTCTGTCTGTACCTCGAAAGTATATATACCACCTAACATGAAAAGCTGCTATTAATAATGTATCTTTTAAATTAAAACACTTGTTGGGGGGTACATACTAACCAATAGTATGACCTGTTTCATTTGAATGAGACAGCAAGGCTGTTAAGCTTCCCCTTTTACAGTATTAAAGACCATTGTATTTTCCTTTATAATTGTAATTGCACATTGTTAATATTAATAATTATTATTGGGGTTACTTAGCTTTTATTTTCTACAGGTATTTTAATCAACAGAGCATTGATTTAAACATATAAAAGAAAATCCCAAACCATTTTGTTCATAAGGCGCAAGTGTTTGTACAGACAACTATAAAAGAGTATGGTGACTGTTTCAGAGGTCTGTATAGGTGTGCTGCTGTGTGAAGAACGATGCCTCTGCCCACTGGCTGATTAGCACTAACACAGTCATCACAGGATGGTAACCTTACTACAAGGAGGAGAAACTACTGTTCTCAGACCACCTATTCTACAACAGTGTTTAAACCTCTCAGCATTGGCCCCAAACAGCTGTTCTTTGTTAGATTCTTTGATGAAGATAAATAAATGACTGAAACATTCATAAGTTCTGAAATAGAACTTTTTATGAACCCGATGAAGCAAATGGATTGGTTGACTGTCCTTATCTAAATTCAGTCGTGGAAATATCTCAGCTAAGCAAGCGTCCTCTCACTACCTGTGTTGAAGTTAGACAACTACATAAATAGATGGGAATAGTTCTGGTCTTACTATTGAAGTGGGATACAGGTTGCAGAGGAAGGAGAAATAGCATTATGTGGGTGGTACACAGTATAGAAGAGCTTTTGTAATGTATAGGCTTGCATTCGTAGCCTTAACTTCCTGTGAGGCATCTTCTTTAGCTGTCTTTAGCTCACACTGATGTACAGTACAAGGAGGGTTCAGTAAGTGCAGGCCCACCTGTAGAAGACAAATCATACACCCTTTGCCTTCAGAGCATGCAGTCCTTATTTCTTAAGAACCATGCAAAACCTCATTTTTCCATCGGCGTTTAACTTTCTGGAAGCCCTCTCAAAACAAATTATGGCTCCCGGTTTGAAGAAAGGACATGTATACTGTACCAGCCTCAAAATGTCAGTTTACTGTCCTACCAAACTAAACAAATTACTGCAGCGGAAGTCTTCCCACTGAGGCTTAGCTATTATATTGTTAATAATATGTGATTGGATTACATTCACGATCCACCTTTAGCTGTTCTTTCTGTAATATGGAGTTTATGGTCACAGAAGTGCCAGTAAATTACAGTATGTTTGGGTGCTTCACTCAGGCATTCACAATGGTAAATTAAGCATCAATGAATATTGGCACAGTCTTTTTTTTCTCCTTCCTCTGTGAACAGTATTTGATCTTTCAGATGTAATGGGGGTCACATTAATTTATTACTAGATTTAGTCCAAGGATTACTTTAGCCAGAACCTGGTTGTTGTTGTTTTTTTCATGTAATCATTCAAATATTTTATTGGACAAATTTCTACATCTTATGATTCCTTAGTATTAAAGCAAGCTTTAAGCGGTCTACCACTGTTTTGTTGGTTCTTTTAACTAGTGTGGTAATCTGCCCATTGGCAAAATACAAATTTTGATATTTTCTTAACAGCTTTCTGTGGCGAGATAAAATAGTGATGTGAAAACTACAATTAAGTCTTAAAATTTGCACTGAATCCTTCAGGGAAGGGTCAATCTAACACAAGGCATACAAATTACCGGAAGACCAGATATAATTTTATTTCAAGTTTCAAAATGATGGTGTAGTCTTGAGATGATAATTTAGGCATACATAACAAGTGCGCACAATTGGCATACCATCAAATATATGTGCAGGTAAATAACACATAATTCTGTTTGAAAAGACGTTCTGTTTTTCAAGCTACAGAATATCCCTTGTTTTGAGCAGAAAACGTTTTTTTTAAACAAGACCTTTTCAACTTCACCTGTGTGGAACAAGGTCAGAGACTGGCGTACATTGAATTTCTTTATGGAATTTATATTTGTGCAGGTGATGCATGTAGTTTACAAGTGTTGCTCCTTGCAATAAATAAGGAGATAATATTATCCATTATTGCCAATACGCAAAACAAATTAGTTTTTTAATTATGAAAAATGTTATTCTGTATTTTATGTGAAACAGGTCCTTTTCTGTAGATTTTTGTGTGTATACACAAGGTGATATTTGTATAGTAAAACAGTTATGGTAAGGGATGGAAAATAAAAGGCTTTTAAATAAAAAGTGATTTTTTCTTTGTTTCTCTTGATCCACATTTATCCAGGATGTTGAAATGCATTGTCAGCTAACATTAAAATGTCTTCTTAAGCTTTAATGGGTCTAGACTGTTTCTAGTCAAGAAGTGTTTTTCTGTTACATTCATTCTCGATAATATTCACATTTAAAAATTAAATTATTAAAAACAGGCTTGGATTTTGTCTATCTCCTTTGTTGTGTTTGAAGGACCAGCTACATAATTTGTTTATAGTCGCCAATTTGTTTGCTATACGTACCAGAAATTGGAATTGTATGTTTTCCACGTCTCGTTGAATAGATTACAGATCACATAGCAGAATGCGGAAGTGTGTGCAGACTCCGCTCTCCAAGCCCCTTTCAGAGCCACTTGTTTTAATACGCCACAGACACAGCTGCCTGTAGGGCGGTTCAGTGCAGATTGCAGCAAAGGCTGCGTCTCTGTCCCAAGAGGCGACAGGCGTCGCTGTGTAAAGGAGGGAGACTGGCCGACCTACAGGCACTCAACCAGTTGTGCGCCACTGTTCGGAGAATCCCGCTCACATGACCCAGATTCGAACCCGTGATCACAGTGCACCCTGATATCCTACAAGATCAGAAAGATCCGGAGCCCCTTGCATTTTTTAAATATTTTAATAAGTTCCAAGCATTACTTTTAAACAGCTTTTCTTTTCCAAAACGCATTGTATTTTGGGTCGTCAGTTCTAGATTCAAGCCTTTATTATGTGTTGAAGCTAGAATAAGCAGTAAATAACTTCAATAACGTTTAACAGCACAGAATTGCACTTAGTTATGCAATTATCATGCATTACGACACTTAGTTGCACAGAGTAACACTATCATAGCCTTAAAGATACATTTCCTTTTTTAATGTGAAATGTTGCCGCAACCACAAATGTTGCAAATATCAGTTATATTAAAGTTCACCCTTTTGGTTCGTTATTAGGTCAGTATGAGGATATATCTACTATTAGAGATTTCAAATATTATGCTTTATATTGATCATTGTTGGTGTTTAACAGTCACAACATTTATATATACCTGTACGTTATTTAACGTTTTTATTGTTTTAAATGACCCGTGTACTTTCTGAATGATTTTAAAAACATAATCTACCTTACTGCTATTATAGTGATATAGATCTACACAACCTTTGAAACCACAGAATTACCTACTGGAATTGCTGACTTTGACATAAATGTAGCAATTGATCTGCGGTATAATAAAGAGCAGTTTAGCGTCGTTCATTGCTCAGTTTGGAAGCGCTATTTGTAATTTTCAAAGGCACATCAAATTATATTCTTTATTGTTGTCTTCCTTCACATCCCAATGATTTTTGCATGCATGAGGACTCTAGTTTACTATTTATTTTACCATGGATTTTAGGTTTTGAAATAAATAGTTGCAATATAATCTTATTATATATAATCTTATCTAATCGTTAATCCTTGAACTATGGTAACCACAAAATAGAGGTAATAAAAGAACATGCACATTTCCATCATTTCTTCTTCAGTACATGGATACTGTGATTTGATGACTTGCTCTTTTTTACCTCTGTACAATATTTTAAATCGAAATTTACTTGATCCACTCATTTTATTTTGGTAAGTAAAAGACGACGTTTTTTGCATGCTATTATCATTCACATCATTTGTTTTGTTTCAAGATGAAATAAGATATACAATTGTTTCAAGCTTTTCTTTGTATTGAACCCCCTCTTTATTTCCTTTGACATTATATGGCTTTATTAAAAACGAAACTACATGCTAGTTATGCTTTTTTTCCCCTTGCAGTGTCTTTCTTTAATTTCGGTATACTGGTCTGTGGCATGTCGTTGTTTCATTTAATAAATTAAGAGACATTTCTGATCTCAGCGTTCATTCAGTTTGAGACAGAATAGCGAGCGAGAGATTTTCCTGGCTGACTCCATAGAGGAGTACCCGCGCCTTCCTGTAACGCTGCGGTTCTTAATGTAAACTGCAGCAGGCACTCCTCGGGAACTCAAAATGTGTTCTCGCAACCCTTTTCAAAGATCGTTAAAGTAGGTCGGTTCTTAAAACCTAAGATGTATCATAACTATGAATTAAAAGAGATGATTATTTATAGATATTATTTTAGCACTACAATCAAGAATATATTGATAACCCTTTTAATTTTACCCCTAAAATGCGTACTGAAGGCTCGATTAAACTTTTTTTTACTTACGCGCCGGTGCTTAATTTGTGTTTTCGATGATGTACAGTACGGTACCTGGCATGTCTCACCCCCCCCCCCAGGGCGTTCAACCACCCCAGGTTAAGACCCGCTGCTTTAAAGAAAGCACAACTCCCGAATGTGAAACTGCCGTAAACACCGAGGACACAAGACGGAGACGAGTCTGTTGGTCAGCAATTAACTCAAGTTCCGCTGTTTAAGCATGGATTCTCTTTCATTCAATCCGTAAAAGATTTGATGAAAATAGTAAAATATATTCTATTCTGCCAAACAACTTTCTAAGCTCCCAAACTACTTTTGCTTACATTGTTTATTCTCTGTATTATTTTTTTTTCATCTCTAAAGCATTTTGAATATTCGTTATTGGTTTTACACATAGCTCATTCCGTTTCCACGTAGTAAAAATCAACACATTTCAAATAGCCACTGAAATAAATTTCAGCTGAAAGCACAGTGGTAGCCCAGTGAACAAATCTCTTGATTCTCGTATTTGTCATATATTGTAGCGGCCATGGCACGCAAGGCAGAGCGAGGTGTGTTCAGCACCCTGGAAGTGTTTTTCCTAGTGCTGTTCGTGCTGATGACTGGAGTGGCAGCGGGGCTCGCTGTAGTCATGGCCGTCAGCTGGAACGGCGAGAAAAGTAAGTCGAGGCTGCTTTCTGTGAAGTGTCATTTTTGTAGTCTAACCACAAAACCCTGAAATATAAAGCCACTTCCTGTGGATTTATGTAAACAAAGTAGACAACTGAACGGGACACCAGTAAACATGAAGTCAGCAGTGAGGATTTCTTACACAAATGATTAACACTTTAGATCTGTATAACTGATAACATCAAGGCCAGTAAAATTGCTTTGAATTGTTTATTATAATAATAATAATCATAATTGCTTACACCTATATAGCACTTTTCCAGACACTCCATAGTGCACCAGCTATCAGTGGGGAGGAGAACAGTGATGAAGCCAACTGATAAATGCGGATTATTAGGAGGCCATGATTGGTATGGGCTAATGGGAAATTTGGCCAGGACAGCAGGGTTACACCCCTACTCTTTTCAAGAGACACCCTGGGATTTTTAATGACCACAGAGAGTCAGGACCTCAGTTTTATATCTTGTCCGAAGGACGGCGCTTATTTACAGTATAGTGTCCTCATCACTATACTGGGGCATTAGGACCCACATGGACCACGGGGTGAGCGCCCCCTGCTGGCCCCACTGACATCTCTTCCAGCAGCAACCTTAGTTTTTCCCAGGAGGTCTCCCATCCAGGTACTGACCAGGCTCAGATCTGCTTAGCTTTAGTGGGTTGCCAGTTGTGAGTTGCAGGGTGATATGGCTGCTGGCATGTTTAATATCCTGTATTCCACCAGCACCAGCCAGCTGGAGAAAATATCAGATACACGTTAGCAAAAAGGCTCTAAACAACTTAATTGTTATTAGTAGAAACAGTAGGCATGCCAGTAGTAGCAGCAGCTGCAGTCAGAATTTGTCAGCATCCTCACACCTATTTCTCTGATTCACCCTTGCCATGTGTTCATTCTCCTATATCTTTTTGCTCCAGGTCATGGGAAACTTGATCCGAGTCAAATGCCTCCCAAGACCACCTATCTGATTGGTGTAGGCCGAGCCGACTGTACAGGACCCGTTGCTGACATACCCCTGGTATGTGTGCATTGCAAGCACAACTATCCTTTCTGATGGGCTACAGAGGATCGTCATCCTGGCTTAATGCAAAACCCAAATTCAAGAATTGGTTATGGCGCTTTAGGTAAAGCTGAACTGAAACATCAGCCTGATTACAAATAGTAAATTGTACGCATTGTATCATGGACATTTCCAATAGGCAAGTAGTACTGTATGTGATTTGATTTGTACGAGGTTTCAGCCTTTCTTGTATGTTCGACTGCTTTGCTTTTGTTTCCCAGATGGGATATGCCAGCTCAGAGCAGACAGCTGCTGGGATTCACACAAGACTCTACAGCCGGGCCTTTATAGTGGATGATTGGACCCAGCGCGTGGTGTTTGTGAGTGCCGATATTGGCATGGTCTCTCAGAGGCTGAGACTGGAGGTGAGAGTCCAAGACCCGAATCCTCTGGCTTTAGAGCCACACGGCGCCACTTCCCAGACAGCAGTGAGCTTCCTGTGCACCAAAAGACCCATCATAGGAGAATCCAGCACTCTCCAGGTTCCCAAGGGGGTGATGTCACTTTCTGTAACAGCCTTTACAGAATTATCCTTTTAAATAGCCCTCAAATCCCGATGGAAAATCTGACATCCATCTGGAAAGAGAGGGAAAATGTGTGAGAGAACCAGGATCTTCATCCAAACAAAGATCATAAATACTGATTTTTTAAACAGTTTTATCATCTGGATTTCAAAATCATCTTTAAAAGTAGAAAACTTAAAAAATATTGACAGTGGCTTTATGTGACTACAGGCCACACAGAATTGTAATAGAAGGTGACAAATTCAAAAATGGAAAAAACAGAATAGAATAAAAGAAACACTAATGACTGCACTATAAATGAGCACTTTGCTTTTTCTAATCAAATGTTTCACAAAAACTGTACTTGTCAGTAACCCACTTAAATTCTGAATTTAGCTCACTGAATGAAGTTTGTTCTATTTGAACATCATGTTGCAGGTGTTGAAGAAGCTGCAGGCGAAGTATGGTGACCTCTACAGACAAGACAATGTTGTCCTGAGTGGTACTCACACTCACTCAGGCCCTGCTGGCTACTTCCAGTACACTCTCTTCATGATCACCAGCAAAGGCTACATCAAGCCCTCCATCCAAGCCATCGTGAATGGGATAGTAAAGGTAGACATCTCTAGTGCATCTGTCCTTCCTCATCCTGCTTTTTCAATAGCCCTTCGGCCAGTAATGGGAGGCAGTGATAACCCAGCAGACAATGTGCACTAGGCAGGATGCAGACGGATGAGATGCTAGTGCATCACAGGACGAAGGTATACACACGTTCTCACACACACAGGGGAGAAACAGAGTCTTTGGACTGTGGGGGGAACCTGGAGCCAACAGACAAAACCCACACAACTGCAGTAAGAACACAAAAAACAAGAGGTGTGAGGCAGTACTGCGAATGGACCTGCCACTATGGTGCCCATCATAAAAACGTGTTTTTTTAAAGCAATTTCTATTTCTGTACTCAATTTCTCATTGATTCACATGGCCTTCATCAACACTGCAGCTGTGAAAGGCTAAAGATTAATGGCAAGTAAAAGTGAAGAGAAGTTGTGTGACACAGTCATTTAATATGCACAAAACTTTATGTCTATTTTAATATCCTAATGATGTAAGAAGAAATGTTTCTTTTTAATATTTTAAAGATATTTAATATTGCACATGTGATCTTCCTATGTCTGACTTTTTTGCAGAGCATTGAGATTGCCCATCTCAATCTGAAACCTGGGAGAATCTTTATGAACAAAGGAGAAGTTGAAAACAGCAACCTTAACAGGAGTCCACTTTCATACTTGAGAAATCCCCCTGAAGAAAGGCAAAGGTGAGGATTTACACTCCTAAGGCATGAATGTACACCACAAAATCAGTGCACTGTTTATAAAAACAGCTAAACTTGTAAATCAGCCTTTAAACAAACACAGCATGTAAAATATCTTCAAATACAAAGAGCCACAACAAAATCTGCTGCTTGTTAAGTGTGTGTTAATCCTACTAATTTGATACCATGTCGCAAGATGTAGATCACACAAAGTGTCGGAAAGAAATGTTTAAGAAATTTTTTTGCAAAACAAAAATCCATATTTAAATTCATATTTGTTGTTTAACCTCTCTTTTAATTTCAATCTTCTCAATAAAAGAAAAGTCATCTTAGCCATAAAGGAGAATGTAGGCCTGCTGCCTACACAAAGAGTTATGAGGTTATACTTTTCCCCACAATCCTACACTCCTCAAATGAAGGCTTTACAAGAGAAATGCCTGTCTGCTTCAAAAGGTAGTATTATGGGTCAGGCAGCTAGGACTGAGATAGGAGAATAGGAGACAGGATACAAATTCTCCCTTCTCTGTTGCTTGCCTGGCAGTGGAGTACACAGTCCATTTTACAGCAGTCAGGAATGCCTAATGGAGTAGAATAAACCATGTTCTGCCCTCAGGTATGGATCCAACACAGACAAACAGCTGCTGGTGCTGAAATTTGTTGACCTCGATGGTGATGGGCTTGGCATGCTGAGGTAACAGAATCACCCTCAAGCCAACAGTGTGATCTGGGAACAGTCTGCTGAAGGATTTGTTCTATCACAGATGTGTAGGACTGTTAATCAAGTAACAAAATTTAGTATTGCAAGCGTGAAACATAATGAAGCAAGATATACAGTATAGAGTGAAATATTGGGTCTCCTTAATGTATCTGGGTGCCCCTGCCTGAAACAGGTTAGGATTTGTATTCTAGTCTTCACAACATTCATAGTAAACTGGTCCTAGTGACAGTGCGTTGTGGCTCTCCAGATCATGGCTGTCTGTGTTTCTAGCTGGTTCGCCGTCCATCCTGTCAGCATGAATAACACCAATCGCATGGTGAGCAGTGACAACTTGGGTTACGCCTCGTACTTATTCGAACAGGAGAAAAATGGCGGCTCTTTGCCTGGGCAGGTGAGGATCGTGAAGAAAGACACTTCTTTCAAGTCAAATGTGTTTCCCTATGTTTTGAAGATTGTGAAAATGTTCAAACACTCACAGTTGGTGGCTGTGAAAACAATCAGTCTCTTTTGTGCAGTCTTATTTTAGTTCATTGTTATTTTCCCCCCTCACAGAATAAAGACAGAATAGAATAGTGTTTAATTATATGAGCAACAGGGGAAAGTACAGTTATCTTTGCCTTTCTTAGGTTTTCTCAGGCTTTCATCTTTTGTGTAACATTTTTCTTTGATTTCTTGCCCAGGGCCCATTTGTTGCAGCTTTCTCTTCCAGCAATCAGGGTGATGTTACTCCAAACACCAGAGGTCCTCACTGCCTTAACACAGGAGAGTCGTGCGAGAATCTGAACAGCTCTTGTCCCATTGGTGGGGTAGGTAGGCCACAATCTGACTCTGCAGAAACACCAATTCATTTTTAAACAGTGGCTAAACAGCTAAGCAGTTTAAACTGGTGTAAGTGCTATCCAGTTTTAAATTAATATTTTGTATGTCTTGTATTTTTCATTTAAAGTTATCTGTAATCACAACCAATTAAATCTTAAAGAGTAGCTTCGGAAAATGCTCAATGAAGAACAATTCTAAAGCAGTGTAGACAGGAACCTCTTGTAAACTGGCAGACTGAAAAACGAATTGAAAATAACTTAGTTCTTTAGCCAATATAACACCAATATGTATCCCCACTCACCCCCACCGAAGGAACAGAAAACGGCAGGCAATATAATGTTCCCTGCCTTAGAAATGAAATAAGCAAGAATGTAAAAAGCTTTTACAGTGCTCTTCTAAGCCATCTGTCTGGTCTCTTTTCTTCACAAAGACGCAAATGTGCCTTGCCTTCGGTCCAGGTGCAGACATGTTTGAAAGCACTAAGATTATTGGAGAGAACATCTACAGAAAAGCTAAGGTAAGACTGCAGCTGCATAACCTAGAATAAGAGTACGAGTACAAGTAAGAATGGAAGTATTAATGAATATTAAATATGCTGCTATTATGCGGATAAGCACTGTGCAACCGTTTCCTAGCAGTCATTTCTTGAGTGTGCAGAGTCTCCATGCTCATCAGTTCAGACCTCTAACCTGATGCTCTCTTGTCTTTCCTGGAGAAAACTCAGTTACTTTCCCTAAAACTAGTTCATGACCACATCTTCTAGGAACTATACAGAACAGCTCGACAGGAAGTTCATGGACCCATCGGCGCAGCTCACCAGTGGGTGAACATGACAGATATAACAGTCCAGCTCAATTCCACACACACAGTGAGTACTAAGCTCCGTGAGACAATATGGCTCTGGAATGAATGGGGACAAAGTTGCAATAGAGTCCTGAAAAAGCAATCTATTCATATTCCTGTTTTTTGACTACTGTACTGGGAGGGTGTCAAAATGTTTTCATTGTGATTCCCCATTAATTTTAGAAAAGTTTAAAGAAGGCAGGAACAGAGGCGTAGGCAGTTACCAGATCAATAAAAAGACAATGCTTACAGTTGACAGGCTGCTTTTAATGTTTCTTTCTGCCATTGAAAGGCCGAAAGGTGTCTATAACTATAATTGAAATGATTGTATATTTTGTGTGATGTGACTTTATTTCAGCATTAATGTAACAATGTGGTCTTTTATTTAATGTCTCTGTGATCCTTAGTTTAGAGAGCATCTACATGTGTGTTTTTTGTTTCAGGGTCAAACCTGCAAACCCGCACTGGGCCACAGTTTTGCTGCTGGTACCATAGATGGAGTGGGAGGACTGAATTTTACACAAGGTAGGCATGAACAGTTTTAGTTTTTAATTCCCTGGCCTTACTGGCATCAGAGACTAAAAACATAGAACACAACTGAAAACAATTGTGCATATGGAGTAGGAAGCTGGACAGTAGCAAAATCATGCACCATTGGTTACAATCCTGTAACCATGTTTATAATTATCTGTATATTACAGGAGAGGCTAAAACATGCAAACCAATAAAAGCGCTTTAATTACATTATTAAAACAATAAATTGACTTGAAAATCAAAGTCAAGTCATTCAGAGCGAAATATTTTCTGCTTTACGAGTGGTCCCTAACTGCACAGCCAGCAGAGTCACTGCAGTCCTCTGATACACACGGCCTGCTTGCCAGTTTCAAGATTTCTCCGTTGCCACAGTCCAAGAACCAGAATTATTCTGTAGGGAAAAACCACTCTACTCATGAATGGGGTGGGGATCCCACTTATTCAAGACCAGGGATAATTCAACATCCACTCGCTCAACATAACCCACATATTTATGGGAGCAGGGAGGAAACCAGAACATCTAGCAAAGTATGTTTTAATCGTTAATTTGTATTTTGTACAGTTCATTTTTGTACAAGGATACCATAGTGTATCCTGTGCAAAGAAGGTACCTGACAGGTACTAAACAGTGCAACACCAGTTGTAACAGAACAAATGTAATTTTAATTTTGTTATTAATTTAACACCACTTGGGTTTTTACTCCCTTAGGGTCAGTAGAAGGGGATCCATTTTGGGATGGTATTCGGGATGCTTTGTTAGGAGCACCTTCAGATGAAACCATAAACTGTCACAAACCGAAACCTATACTCTTCAGCACTGGTGAGGTGAGTTCACAGCACTTAACAGCTCAGATCACATACATTTCTAGTCCATTCCACCTCTCAGTGATGCCTTTATCAATATACAAGCTTTAGCACTGAGACTAACCTTCATGGTTCCTTTAGACTAATAGAGAAAGTAATTCTAAAATTATTCTTAAACCTACAATGGAAAGCTGATTTCTATGAATGGAACTCCAGGAAGAATGTTTTTAAGAGGGTGAAACTACTGAAGTGTGGATATATGTGCCCCGGACAACTGTGTCTGCAGGAATTATATCCATTTGCTGGCACGCACAGCATTTTTTTAAATGCATTTCTTTTCCACGTTTGCTGAGACAGATTGTTGATTGTAAGAAGTGAGTTGCTAATGTCATGTATGATGTTACAGAAGATAATCAATATCGTATTCTAATAGGGCCCCCTTGAAAAGGAGGTGATGCATCTCCAGGGGTTTTATCTTGTCAATACTATGAAACTTAGTAAAACAATTAATAATCATGCCTACACTCTTTTCTAGATGACTAAGCCTCTCCCTTGGCATCCTGACATCGTCGATGTTCAGATTATTACTGTCGGATCTTTGGCAATTGTAGCTGTCCCTGGTGAAGTGACGTAAGTTTGCTCAGGCAGCAATTCCGTTAATTCCTTTTTCTGATAAGAACATCTGTAAAGTTATTCAGGCTGGTATCTGTGTCAGATTGTGTAGGCTGCAAAGGAACAGGTAATGGGTTTATTCCATGCTGAAAAGAGAAGAAAGGAAACACAACATTTCAGCTGTGGAACCTTCTTCAGGTGTGAGAAAGACAGGGCAGTAAGCAAAGGTAATGTAGCGGGAGAACAAAAGATGGGAGAGAGGAGGAGTGGGAGGCAGGAGCAGGGGACAGACAGAGTGGCCAATCAGGCAGAGTGGCCAATCAGGTAGTGATTAGGATAGGATAGGTGGAGAGAGGTGTGAAATGAAACCAGCAATGAATCTGTAAAGTTCCCAACAAGAGGAGCCATTTGGCCCATTTACTGTGGCTCATTTGTTTGTTAATAGCTGCATAGGATTTCAGTCAGCCGTGCCCTTAAAGAAGTCAAGCATCCATAACTATCAGCTTTCGACAACACAACACAGTATCTTGTTCCGTACACCCTTTGCAAAAAGAGGCAACTCCTGTTTCCTGTTAAATATGATCCTGTTAAATATGATCTGATTTATGTTTCTTTGCGAATTTTGAAAGAATCCACTGGGTTGACGACTGGTACTCAGAAAAGGTTCCATCATAGTCTTTTCTGTCCAAGATGAAAATGGCTTAGTTCTTTTAGCCTGTCAGTGTAAGAGTACCAGAATGTATCTGATTGTTCTTCTATGGACTGATTCCAGAGCAACAATATCTTTTTTTGTAACACGGTGACCATAATTGTATATGAACTTCTAAGTTACATTTTACTAATCCATTATAAAATAAAATTATCTGATTTAAATTCTACATGCTTTTTCTGCTTCCTCACTTTGCCTAGAAGATCTGTGTTGATTATCCCCTAGAATCCTACTGCTATACAGATGAATAGTCATTTTCTATACCATGCATAAAATAGAAGTACTGTATGACTTATTAGTCTATAATTACTTGGTTCTATTCTGTCACCCTATTTATGGATGGTTGCTAAATTAGAAATTTTCCACTCTGAGGATGTTACCTTAGCTTGAGTGAATTCCTCATACTCTTAGTTTGCCATCTGGAATTTTTTTTTGGAATTAACATTGAAACCCATTGTGTCAGGGAATCTGTACACTTAGGGTATTTGTTTCATTTACTGTTTCTTAATTTATTTTAGCACTATGGGAGGAAGGAGGATAAGGGAAGCAGTCAAAAATGTAAGTATTGAAAATGCAATATATTCTATGACCAACAGAACCAAGATGCCTATCCATTCACAGTTATTACACTAACGCTATGTGTTATCCATGTTTTACTTTACATTCATTGTATGTTACAGTATATGTGTTCATTTTCCTAGGAAATGGAGTTTGAAGGGCGTCTTAAAAACATGGAGGTGGTCATTGCTGGGCTCTGCAATGTCTACACACACTACATTACCACCTATGAAGAGTACCAGGTAACAAGAAGTTCTGTTGACAGGAACGTATATCATATTCAGGAAAGAAAATAATGGTCAGCTCTAGATTTCTTTTGTCACATAATTTTACTCTTCTAAATTTGAATAAGTTCAGGTGGGTAGCTGTGTCAGCATGTGTGGGCTGCAAAGGAACAAGTAATAGGTTTATTCCATGCTGAAAAAAAGAAAAGAGAAAACACAACGTTTCGGCCATGGAGCCTTCATCAGGTGTGAGCAACACACGGCCGAAACGTTGTGTTTTCTCTTTTCTTTTTTTCAGGATGGAATAAACCTATTACTTGTAAATTTGAATAAGCTTGGATGTTTTGGCACTTAGTCATTGACCCTTCACAGTAATACATTCATAATTCATCTCTGGGTTACTTTCTCAATGGACTCATCAATTTCTCTTTTGAGTGCCCATCATTTTCTGTGTTGCAGATCCAGAGATATGAAGGAGCTTCCAACATTTACGGACCCCACAGCCTCTCAGCTTACATTCAGCTTTTCAGAGGCCTGGCCAGAGCCATTGCTGAGGTAAGGACACATTTCTGGTGGCGAGTGATTACAAAGCATGCATAGCCACATTTCACAACCTCTATAATGAATATACAGCATTTTATGACAATTATGTTCACAAATTTATTTCAGTGAATGACCAATTCACTGTCCTACTGACTGCAAAAAGACGTTTTTTGGATGAGATGTAAAACCGAGGTCCTGACTCTCTGTGGTCATTACAAAATCCCAGGGCATTTCTCAAAAAGAGTAGGGGTGTAACCCTGGTGTCCAGGCCATATTTCCCATTGGCCCTTACCAATCATGGCGTCCTAATAATCCCCATCTATGAATTGGCTTCATAACTCTGCTCTCCTTCCCACTGATAGCTGATGTATTGTGAGCCTTCTGGCACACTATGGCTGCC